AGCAAATGATATATAATAAACCTATAATAGTATTAAAATATAAATTAAACTGGACTGATTAATCAATTCTTTACTTCTTTTTATCAAGAACAGCATATTTTTCAAGTAAAGATTCTAGAATCTATCATCCATTCTTGTTAATGAATTCTTTAATCCACCAAAAATTAGCAGATGATAATACTGTTCGTAAAGATAATAGATATTCCATTAAAGGCTTTGATGAAATATTTCTAATTATAAATTTTTTTCAGAGAAAAAAAAATTTTTTAAAAAAAAATTAGGTAAATTATATAATTTATATATATATATATATATGATATAGTATAAATAGTACTTTTGTGATAGTTTTTCAATACAAAATTCAGGTAAATCTTGAGACTTTGATGAATTGTTGCCATTATTATTATTGATTGGTAATTGGCTTCTTTCTTCCAATGAACCATTTGTTGTAATATTTTTATTGTTATCATTATCATTATTGTTGTTGTTGAAACAAAGCCAATAAATCAATGAAAAAGCATTAATAATAATATTAATATCATCATTACCACCACCACCATCATCACTTGATATGCTGACAATAGGTGCAACTTCTGAATTATATATTTGAATTAGTTCCGAACTATTGTGAGATTCAGTGTCAGGAGATGTGTTCAACATTGTTCTTAATTGTGGTGATTGCTTTAAACGCTCTTGAGAAGAATGCAGTTGTAATGGAAGATGTGATGGCGAAGTTGCTAATTTAGTTGTTGAAGAAGCTTTTGATGATGAATATTTGATATTTTGAAGTTTTTGATTGATTGATCGTGATTGACAGTTTTGATTTATTATGATTCTTTTATGATTCATCGAAATTTGTGATAATTTTTCTCTGGTAGAATCTTGTATATTTAATTTGTCCTTTAATTAATTAATTTATTACTTTTTCCAAATTTTAATTAATTTTTTATTAATTTATTAATCTAATCCAAATATCTCTGATAAATCAAATCAACGTCTATAAAGAAGAGCATAAGAAAGATTTTGCTGAATTGAACAATATAGCCCATGAAATAATTAGAGACGCAAAGTATACTTCAATTTTCTGGAAAACTACATATAAATTAACTAATATATTAACAAAATTTACAATAATATTATCGATTAACTAATAGCAATTCATCATATATTATCTATGGATTATTACGACAAATTGAAAATGACGAGAATTTGCACTCTCATATTATTGGATCTCTTGAAAACTTTTTGAAAATTATTTGTAGACCTTCAAACAAGTAAATATGATTAATTATATTTATATTAATCAATTATTAATATTAATATTTAAATAGCTAAAATATTTGTTTAATTTTTGTAGACAAAACAGAATTGAAGTATTGGCAATTATTGAACAATTTATTGAAAAAATCAAAACTACAAATAGTATTAAAGAACGTATGTTTAATTTTTTAATTTCCAACTAATTATTTTTTTTTAACACATTATACTGATACTCGATATTGATGTATAGAGTGGCAAAGTGTTATGAATAATTATAATTCATCTATTCAGCACATAATAGGCAAAAAATATTCATTAGTCAGTGGAATAATAACTGACCAAGAAATTGATTCACTAAAAAAATCAATAAACAATTTGAGTTTAAAGGTAACCAATTAATAATAAATAAGTGTTAAATAATTAATAAATGATATTTCATTATTTTCATTATTATTATTTTGTTTTTAGGTTAAGCAACAATCAAAGATAATCGATAAATTTAAATATATACAAAAACTTAATTCAGATGATGATAATAATAATCTGGATGAAAAAAAATCAATGTTGTCTCTTCAAATATCACAACCAACATCTGATATACTTGACCTTTCTTCAAAATCTCCACAAGCATCACAAATATCATTTTTTCAAAATTTTAAAAATCTTTTTCGATCTTCTCCAAATAATAATATTAAAAATAATAATGATGATATCTCGTCTACCACCACCACTACTTCATCTGGTGCTACATCTATTGCTTCAATAATAATTAATCAGCAATTTAAAGCTCGCAGTCCCCCGCCCCCGCTACCAACAACTCAATTGCCAATATCTCCAAAATTATTAGAAAAACATAATCAGGATATTAAATCTAGTATAACAAAACCAAAACCATTATTACCATCAACAGCAAAAAAGATTGACACCAATTCCATCCTCACAATAAATTCTTCTTCGACTCCTTGTCTTTCTTATTCAAAACTACAAAATTCTACCACAAAA